AAGATTACATGAAAATTTTCAGCACTTTTGGAACCACAAAAATTCCAGAAAGATAATGTGTGTAACCAAGTGTAGTCCTAATTAGATTAAAATGCTATATTCCAGATGTTAATTAAGACCCTGATATGGCTTAGCTGTGTCCCTACCGAAATCTCATCTTGAATTCCACATGTTATGGGAGGAACCGAGTGGGAGGTGATTGAGTCCTGGGGGCAGGTCTTTCCTGTGCTGTTCTGATAGTGAATAAGTCTCATGAGATCTGATGGTTTTACAATGGGAGTTTCCCTGCACAAGCTCTCTTTGCCTTCCACCATCCATGTAAGATGTAACTTGCTCCTTGCCTTCTGCCATGAGTGTGAGGCCTCTCCAGCCACGTGGAATTGTAAGTCCATTAAACCTCTTTTTCCTTCCAGTTTCAGGTATGTCTTTATCAGCAGCATGAAAATGGACTAATACAGATCCTGACTTTTGTTTTCAAAACATTTTGCCTGAAGAGCTGAATATAAGTTGGCACCTCCCATTTCTCTCACCTGCTTTGAAATTCTTATAATAAAGCTATGTGTTCAAGAATTTCAATGTCCCATGTTCCTAGATAAGGGATGGATCTATTTTAAAGATGAGATAGGTGAAGAACTATTTACAATGGATTGTATGTTTTGAAACAATGCATAGATAGTTGATACTTTTATTGTTGAGTTATGTGCATTAGGGTTTTACAGCTTGAATACTGAAAATTCTGATGCCTTTTGGGTGTGAATGGGTCTGCCTCTAGAAACAGAGGCCACAAATAGGACTTCACGGAAGCCACAAATAGGATTCAAAGGACTCTGATTAAGTAAGTAGCATCTATCATCATTAAATTAGCTTCTCAACATATCCTCTGTTGTTCGTTTTGAGGTAGAATTTGGGAAAGGTCCAGGGTTTTCACTGACTCATACCAAGTTTTTCTGGCAGTGAATCATCTTTGGGAGACTTTAGAAATCCATATAGGTTAACTAAGAAGAAAACGCCACTACTGCTCTTCTTGGATAACTGATGTACTGAGTTCTGGCCAATAGCTTCAGGGATGGTCAGTGTAAGGGGCTGTTTCAGAAGGGTTAGTAATTTGTTTTCTGAGAGGAATAATAACGAATAATTCAAGTTACTTCTAAATTACACAAACTTCACTCATGATCACCACTTTTATGGTCTTTATTATAAATAGAATCCCTCAGAGAAATTAATAATATTTATATTTACTCCTGTTTAACAACTGCAGCATTAACTGGCCAATACCATCTAGTAAAAAAGAAAATAGAATAGGCTGTTTAGTGAAGCGGAAACACTTGGATTGCAATGAAATACCATCTGATTTATGAAATCCATAGATTTCTAAAACAATATTTTGAGTAAAGATATTATGTCTTCTCAAAACACTTAAGGATAAATGATACGGAATATCAAAGGAAGATGTTTTTAATATGAGTGAAAGATTGCTTCAGGGAGAGCACAGACTGGCATAATATCAAAGATCAAGAAAAGGATTCAAGGATTTGTCATAATTTATTGAAAAGGCTGAACTTGATAGGAGTCACCCAGGAAGTAGCTTGATTTTCCCCTGTGATTCCCCTTTGGATATGTCTGTGAGATCTTCCATTCTTACCCTTGATGATACTTGGGTGAATTTGTTAGATCTTTTGTCATTTTCAGGTTTCAGTGAAATGTTCCCATTTGCAGGTACTAAGAGACCCCATTCAATCTGAATCAAACTGCCAACATTTCACCTAATTATAAGCTTCAATCCTTTCTCCACAGCTCTTCTGACAAATTTGGAAAGCTGTACTAGTGTAGTCCGGGTAGTTGTATGTTTTTGTTTTGCTGTTTGTACTGGTCCTTACCCTCCTTCTTCACTTTCCATTCTGCTGGATTTGGCTTTTCCAAGATCACAGTGAGGATAAGTGCTAAGAAGACAAGAGAAGGGTCTTTTTTGTCTACTGCTATTTGTAGCTCTTTATCAGCTGTCTAATATCTTCTGTCATGGCAGACACTCTTGGATCTTTGAAATCTCTTTAACTTTTCACTTGTACATCTGTCCTGCAGTTCTTGACAAGCCTGACGCTTCTTGCCAGACCCTTTATGAATCCAAATCAACTTTTGCTCTTGTGGGAGGCCTCCAACACATTTCCTCTTGAGACAACTTACCTTTCTGGTCAAGGTTCTTTTAAGGTGACTCATGCCTGCTTATCTTGGCCATGGTTCTTGCCCTGTCTTCTGTGGAATGGCACCTCTGCTCCCCAGCTGCTATACCTCTGGCCTTGCTATTAGGGAAAGCTACAGCCGGCCTCTTGGCTTTAAGCTACTTTGGATGTGGGTCAGGAACTGGTCTTAAGTCTTCTGTCACTCCAGGGACATAGGTCTGACTCTGAGATCTTGTTCTCTCATGCTCCACTCCTGTTTCATAGCCAAACTCAGCTCAGCAGAAATTGACAACCCCAGGAAGGAAATCTTAGGCTTTCCTTGTGGCAAGAGCCTTTACTTTCTTTGAGTACATTTTGATTCCTTTGCCACTCATTTTTTGGGTACATCCTAACCCCTCTTCCTATGCCAATAATGCTCTTCAAGAAAACCCAAAAAACAACCCTTTTTTCAGAACCAATTCTCTTAGATCCTACCCCTACCCCTACCCCATAATATAGACTGGGAGCAAATGATGGACCAATAGTACTATCTCTTGGCATACTCTATATGGATCATCTATCAGCTCTTTTCACTCAGCACAATGCCCTTGAGATCCTGATTCAATACATGCTTGATTCAATAGTTTGTGTCTTTTTACTTCTGAGCAGTATTCCATGGGATAATTCTATAAGATTTGTTTAACCATTCATCCATTGAAGGACATTTGTGTAGTTTTTAGGATTTGGCTATTATAATAACTCTGCTGAGACCATTTGTGCATGTGATTTTATGTGGACATAAGTTTTCTTTCTTTCTTTTTTTTTTTGGTATAAATGTCCAGCAGTGTGATTGCAGGGTTGTATGGTTAATGTATGTTTTGTTTTATAAGAAACTGCCATACCTTTTTCTATAGTGGCTATACCATCTTACATTCTCACCAACAATGTGTGAGGGATCTAGTTTCTCTATATCCCTGCCAGCATTGGCATTGTCATTATTTTTTAATTTTAGTTGTTCCAGTGGATGCATAGTGATATCTCATCATTCATAAACTGTTTTTAGACTTGTGGGTATACATTATACTTATTATTAGCTTTGAGGCCTCAGCCTGAACTTTTAGACAAGAAAAATTTAATATCTCATTGCACAGTGATTCAGACAACCTCTGACTTAGGCTAAGGTTTTCCAGGAAGGAATTAGAATTCTAATTAGAATTCAAATAATAGTTTGGCAGGCGTATCAGGTTGCACCTATGTTATATCTTCTGATGTGTTTTATATTTGTTGGGCATGTCTGGTAGAATGGTGATGTCTGCCAGAAATCTATTTACATTTAAGACTTAGAAGTTTCCTAGGAGATTACTTATATCAAAGAAAGAGTTTTGCAGACAGGTTTGCCTAGTAACCAAGCATCCAAGTTGTCAGATAGAAGGGCAGGGCAATTTTTGTGAGCTACATGATATTTGCCAGTTAGATTGGTTTGCTAATTTTATGCACAGTTTTTCTCCCAAGTTATCCCTAGATTCAGCATAGGAAAGTAGAGGAGACCACAATTAAAGATATTAGAAAAGTAATTCTTACTAAGATTCTGGGAGACATTGAGTTTAAAGAAGAACTGTTTGAGTATTCTTCAAACCAATCACAATATAAAAAGGAAGAGAAATCTCCACACATCTGCCAAAAACAGACAAACACACAAACAAACAGTTGAACTCTGGCACTTTGATGTCTCTAGCAGTAATGGGTAAGGTCCCTGACAGGAGGGTTGTCTGGAGCCACCAGGTTGCAATTTGAGGCAGCAGTAGTGAGGGAAATGGTATGTGCAGATTTGTAGATATTACGAGGCAGCATCTTTTGTGACATATTTTCTCATTTTAGATTTTGAAAATAGTAAAGTATTCCCCCAAAATACACACCAAATAATGAACTATAAAAATACTTGGATTATAAATATACTTTAGTGGCTTCTCTTTTCTTTTCATGATAATGTATTTTTTCTCGTGCATACTCCATATCTTGCTTATGTTCAAGCATACTTTAATTTTTAATTCATCAGTTAAGCTGTCTTTGAGTTACCATGATACAGAGCATAAATCATTATTTTTTACACCAAGTACATTTTAAAAAGGAAAAGGATACTGTTTTATCTTCTTTCTTGCTGCTTTAATGAGGATGGAGGGATAAGTGACAGGCTGGTACATTAAATGTACTACTATGGAAGGACCTTTTTCTTTATCAGTGTCTCTTCCCCACCTTTAAAATCACCAATCAGGGTCTAGCAGTATCTGCTCCTCAAAACTTGGGGCCACATGATGGTGTTCCCACTTGCAATGTCTTCTCATAGCACTTTTAACTTTCTTCTGTAGTTTTTAATGCTTTATGTAATACCTATCAGAAGGGCTTCTTTTTTTTTTTTTTTTTTTTTTTTTTTTGGTGAGACAGAGTTCTGCTCTGTCACCCAGTCACCCAGGCTGGAGTTCAGTGGCGCGATCTTGGCTCACAGCAACCTCTGCCTCCGGGGTTCAAGCGATTCTCCTGCCTCAGCCTCCCAAGTAGCTGGGATTACAGGTGCCCATCACCACACCTGGCTAATTTTTGTATTTTTAGTAGAGACAGGGTTTCCCCATGGTGGCTAAGCTGGTCTTGAACTCCTGATCTCAGGTGATTCGCTCACCTTGGCCTCCCAAAATGCTGGGATTACAGGCATGAGCCACTGCGCCTGGCCAGATGGGCTTCTTTTAAAATAAATCCAATAGTTGACTTTTGTTTCCAGCAGTGTAGTAGATTAGATAACATGATTTACCCTCTTACCCATCATGAAAACTACCAAAAATGTTGGCTAAATTATTCGAAAACATCTTTTCCAACAAATTGATGACCTGGCAAGAAAAAAGAATATTCAGATGCCAAAAAAGGTGAAAAAAAAAATAGAAGCTAAATAGATAAGTAAAATGATAAAGCCAGGTTTTTCCTCGAGCATATTTGCCAAATCTGCTAAATCCAAAGTTTAATCTTCAACTGTTCAAGGACATGTGGACAAGAGAGAAGCCTAGAAATTGCTTAATGTGTAAAACGAGGCTCTCCACCAAAAAACTGGAACCCTAAAGATACACTCAGTGAAAGGGTGAATTAGAAATAAATCACCATTATTGCCACAGACACACAGGAAGAATGCTATGTTAATATGAAGGCAGAGATTGGAGTGATGCACCTATAGGCAAGGGAAAGTCTGGAGTTACCAAAAGCGGAAAGAAGCAAAAAAGAAACTGCCTCTAGAGGCTTCTAAGGAACATGGCCCTGCCAGCACCTTGAATTCAGACTTCTGGCCTCCAGAAACTGTGAGGCAATAATTTTTTTGTTGTTTTAAGCTACATGTTTGTTATGTCCACCCCTAGGGAACTAACAAGATTTAACCAGAGTTCCAGAGAAGAGAAAAGTAAGAAAAAGAGAAAGGATAAACGAGAAAGATAAAATTGAAGAAACAAAGCTTCAGAATTGAGAATTTCCCAGAATAGCTGAAACAAACACAGTAATCCAATAAATTCAATAAATTCCAACAGGACTTTAAAAAAAGGTCTATGTATAGACATATCTTAATGATTGTGGAATACCAAAAAGTAAGGATATTAAAAATAGCCAGAAGCCGGGTATGGCAGCTCACGCCTGTAATCCCAGCACTTTGGGAGGCTGAGGCTGATGGATCACCTGAGGTCAGGAGCTCAAGACCTGCCTGGCCAACATGGTGAAACCCTGTCTCTACTAAAAATACAAAAAATAGCCAGGCATGGTGGTGGGCACATGTCATCCCAGCTACTTGGGAGGCTGAGGCAGGAGAATCACTTGAACGTGGGAGGTGAAGGTTGCAGTGAGCCAAGATCACACCATTGCACTCTAGCCTGGGCAACAAGAGCAAAACTCTGTCTCAAAAAGAAAAAAAAAGCCAGAGAAAGGACACAATAATTAGACAGTTGCAACAACTGAAATCAAGGGGACAATGAGATCTTCATGTGCTGTGAGAAAATAACTGTCAACACACTTTCACGGTCAAAAAACTCTTTCAAGTAAAAGAGCAAAATGCATATTCACATAAAGAGTAATAGATAATATGTCGCTAACAAACATTAAGGAAATTTTAAAGAATGTACTTCATACAGAAAGAAAGTGATTTAGATGGATGGTCTTATATTTTTGAAGAAACAAAGACCAAGATAGTTTAAAAATGTATATTATGGACTAAATATTTCTGTCTCCCCAAATATATATGTTGAAGCCCTAATCCCCAGTGTGACAATATTTGGATATAAGACTTTTACTGAAATAATTAAGATTAAATGAGGTTGTGATGTTGGAGTTGTAATCCAATAGAATTAGTATCCTTATAAGAAGAAACACCACAGAGCATGCTCTCTCTCTGTGTGTACCATGGGAGGACACAGCTAGAGGCAGCTGTCTACAAGCCAGGAACAGAGCCCTTGCTGGAACCTAACCATTCTGGCACACCGCTCTTAGACTTTCAGCCTCCAGACTGTGAGAAATACATTTTTGTTGTTTGAGCCACCCAGTCTGTGGTATTTTGTTATGGCAGCCCGAGTGACAAATACAATGTAGTTGAATCTAAACAAATAATAGTGATTTGTAGGGTTGAGAAAGAAAATAAGATAGAAAGGAAACACACAACACAGTTGAGACAGGGCCTATTAGAATTAAAGGGATCATTGTATTGCTTTGGGGAGGATATAACAATTCTAAATTTTATGTATCTTACACCAAACTTTAAAAGTGAACACATTTGCAAGAAGAGATAAACTAATCATTATAGTAGGATATATATATATATATACACACACCTACCTACTCTCTATGTATAGTAGGATATATATATAAAATATATATATATTTTTATTATACTTTAAGTTCTGGGGTACATGTGCGGAACATGCAGGTTTGTTATACAGGTATACATGTGCCATGATGGTTTGCTGCACCCATCAACCTGTCACCCACATTAGGCATTTCTCCTTATACTATCCCTCCTCTAGCCTCCCACCACCTGACAGGCCCTGTTGTGTGATGTTCCCCACCCTGTGTCCCTTTATTCTTATTGTTCAGCTCCCACTCATGAGTGAGAACATGTGGCGTTTGGTTTTCTGTTCCTCTGTTAGTTTGCTGAGAATGATGGTTTACAGCTTCATCCATATCCCCGCAAAGGACATGAACTCATCCTTTTTTTTATGGCTGCACAGTATTCCATGGTGTATATGTGCCACTTTTTTTTATCCAGGCTATCATTGATGGGCATTTGGGTTGGTTCCAAGTCTTTGTTGTGAACACTTGCTGCAATAAACATATGTGTGCGTGTTTCTTTATAGTAGAATGATTTATAATCCTTCGGGTATATACCCAGTAATGGGATTGCTGGGTCAAATGGTATTTCCGGTTCTAGATCCTTAGGGAATCGCCACACTGTCTTCCACAATTGTTGAACTAATTTTACACTCCCACCAGCAGTTTAAAAGCGTTCCTATTTCTTCACATCCTCTCCAGCATCTGTTGTTTCCTGGCTTTTTAATGATCGCCATTCTAACTGGCTTGAGATGGTATCTCATTGTGGTTTTGATTTGCATTTCTCTAATGACCAGTGATGATGAGCTTTTTTTCATACGTTTGTTGGCTGCATAAAATGTCTTCTTTTGAGAAGTATCTGTTCATCTCCTTTGCTCACTTTTTGATGCGTTTGTTTTTCTTTTTCCTTATAAATTTGTCCAGGTTCCTTATAGATTCTAGATATTAGCCCTTTGTCAGATGGATAGTTTTCTCCCATTCTGTAGGTTGTCTGTTCACTCTGATGATACTTTCTTTTGCCATGCAGAAGCTCTTTAGTTTAATTAGATCCCATTTGTCTATTTTGGCTTTTGTTGCCATTGCTTTTGGTGTTTTAGTCATAAAGTCTTTGTCCATGCCTATGTCCTGAATGGTATTGCTTAGGTTTTCCTCTAGGGTTTTTATGGTTTCAGGTTTTATATTTAAGTCTTTAATCCATCTTGAGTTAATTTTTGTATAAGGTGTAAGGAATGAGTCTAGTTTCAGTTTTCTGCATATGGCTGTCCAGTTTTCTCAACACCACTTGTTAAATGGGGAATCCTTTCCACATTTCTTGTTTTTGTCAGGTTTGTCAAAGATCAGATGGTTGTAGATGTGTGGCATTATTTCCGAGACCTCTGTTCTGTTCCGTTGGTCTATATATCTGTTTTGGTACCAGTACCATGCTGTTTTTGTTACTGTAACCTTGTAGTCTAGTTTGAAGTCAGGTAGCGTGATGTCTCCAGTTTTGTTCTTTTTGCTTAGGATTGTCTTGGCTATACGAGCTCTTTTTTGGTTCCATATGAAATTTAAAGTAGGTTTTTCCAATTCTGTGGAAGAAGTCAATGGTAGCTTGATGGGGATAGCATTGAATCTATAAATTACTTTGGGCAGTATGGCCATTTTCATGATATTGATTCTTCCTATCCATGAACATGGAATGTTTTTCCATTTGTTTGTGTCCTCTCTTATTTCCTTGAGCAGTGGTTTGTAGTTCTCCTTGAAGAGGTACTTCATATCCCTTGTAAATTGTATTCCTAGGTATTTTATTTTCTTTGCCGCAATTGTGAATAGGAGTTCACTCATGATTTGGCTGTTTGTGTGTTATTTGTGTGCAGGAATGCTTGTGAGTTTTGCACATTGATTTTGTATTTTGAGACTTTGCTGAAGTTGCTTTTGAGCTTAAGGAGATTTTGGGCTGAGACGATGAGGTTTTCTAAATATAGAATCATGTCATCTGCAAATAGAGACAATTTGGCTTTATCTCTTCCTGTTTGAATACCCTTTATTTCTTTCTCTTGCCTGATTCCTCTGGGCCAGAACTTCCAATACTATGTTGAATGGGAGTGGTGAGAGAGGGCATTCTTGTCTTGTGCCAGTTTTCAAAGGGAATGCTTCCAGCTTTTGTCTTTTCAGTATGATATTGGCTGTGGGTTTGTCATAAATAGCTCTCATTGTTTTGAGGTAGGTTCCATCGGTACCTAGTTTATTGAGAGTTTTTAGCATGAAGGGTTGTTGAATATTGTCAAAGGCCTTTTCTGCATCTACTGAGATAATCATGTGGTTTATGTTATTGGTTCTGTTTATGTGATGATTATGTTTATTGATTTGCGTATGTTGAACCAGCCTTGCATTCCAGGGATGAAGCTGACTTGATCATGGTGGATATGTTTTTGATGTGCTGCTGGATTCAGTTTGCCAGTATTTTATTGAGGATTTTTCCATCGATGTTCATCAGGGATATTGGCCTAAAATTCTCTTTTTTGTGTGTGTCTCTGCCAGGCTTTGGTATCAGGATGATGCTGGCCTCATAAAATGAGTTATGAAGGAGACCCTCTTTTTCTATTGATTGGAATAGTTTCAGAAGGAACGGTACCAGCTCCTCTTTGTCCCTGTAATAGAATTTGGCTGTGAATCTGTCTGGCCCTAGGCTGTTTTTGGTTGGTAGGCTATTAATTGTTGCCTCAATTTTAGAACTCATTATGGGTCTATTCATGGACTTAACTTCTTCCTGGTTTAGTCTTGGGAGGGTGTATGTGTCCAGGAATTCATCCATTTCTTCTAGATTTTCTAGTTTATCTGTGTAGAGGTGCTTATAGTATTCTCTGATAGTAGTTTGTATTTCTGTGGGATCAGTGGTGATATCGCCTTTATCATTTTTTTACTGTGTTTATTTGATTCTTCTCTTTTTTATTCTTAGCTGGCTAGCAGTTTATCTATTTTGTTAATCTTTTTAAAAAGTCAGCTCCTGGACTCATTGATTTGTTGAAGGGTTTTTTGTGTCTCCATCTCCTTCAGT